GCGCTCATTTGACATCACTGTTCATTCTGGCTACGCCCGTCCGGCGTTCTCGGCATATCGGCCTTTTCCACCAGCCATTTGCAAGGGTCACCACTGTTAAAATGGATTTGACGCACGACTACCCGCTGTCTGCAATCAATTTTTGCAGAATTTCCCTTCCACTGACTTTTTTCATCCAACAAAATCATTCCGATCTGATTTCTTTAGGATTCGCCGGCACACGAGGAGCATTTTCTTGATGACGTGATGCGCGACTGTGTGATGTGTATGTGTGTGTAACTATGTGTATATATATATATATATATATATATATATATATATATGTATGTGTGTGTGTGTGTGTGTGTGTGTGTGTGTGTGTGTGTGTGTGTGTGTGTGTGTGTGTGTGTGTGTGTGTGTGTGTGTGTGTGTGTGTGTGTGTGTGTGTGTGTGTGTGTATGTGTGTGTGTGTGTGTTTGGTTAGGTTTTTTGTTTGTGTGTGTATCGTATATTTATTGTCCTTAAAACTGGACTGCCTCCGTGATTGAGTTTTTGCCTGTGGAATGCTTATGTCCTAAATAAACAAATCAACACCATTGCATGAACGAACGGTCATGCGGGCAAGCAAACACACCATTGCATGGCTACATAGTTACACCACCACATGGTCACATGGTCACATGGACAAACTACTACAAGGTCCAACTGACATACAGACACGCGGACACATGTACATAGACACGCGGACACAAACACACAGACGTGCGGAAACAGACATGTAGACACACTGTTGCATGGTCACGGTCCTACGCTCACATGGACATCCGGTTACATAGGCACAAAGTCGCCCCTTCACGCGGTTCCAAATCGAATCAAACATTGTTTGGACAGCACCGCAGTGTCAAACTATGATTTTCTCTGGTCCTGTGTTCAGGTCGCCCCCGTCGGAAGATGATGCCTTTAGGTGTGAGAAAATGCGAACAGGTATGCCAAACAGGCATCATTTTTCGTGAGCGTTCAGTATTGACCTTATGGGAATGTATGGAAAAACTGAGCTCAAAAGAGACTTTGCGGACCCATGTACGGGGACCCTTTTAGACCGCCTGGATCCTCACGGACCCTATAGACCCTACGGATCTATAGACTATAGATCCTCACGGACCCTCACGGACCCTATAGACCGCCTGGATCCTCACGGGACCCCTTGATCTCGAAACCCCAACAAGTCAAGGCCAAGCGGAAACTACATCGGATAGACCACGTAAAACGGCGTCAGCTGGATGTCGTGGAACGTCAGGCCACGTCACGTTTGAAAGTTTAAGCCAGCTCAATGGGCTAACAATTTGTGGTTCTGTCTTCTAAGTTATATACGGTCTGCGGTGCGGTATATATCCGTACGAATACGACTCGTATTAGCTGAATAGAAAAGCATTGCACAAAATATAACGCGCGTCATGGAGTTATATTAGAACACACTCCTATTATGTAAAATATCCTCTTTTTCAAAATCCTTTTTCATGCCCCTTCGTAATGGGCTTGAGAGACGGAGGCCTGCTGATCATTAATGCTCGAGCTCGAAACGAAACAAAAAACGGCGGCGCTTGGAAACTGGTAAGCTTCGCAGCTGCAGAGTCTACCTGGACTAAATGCTGTGGATCGACGAAATCGATGAATTTTCAAGGAGTGATGGTATCATATATGATAGTCTTATGTGATCTGCCAGTTTGATATGGCACAAGCGTTTTATAGAATATGATAGGATCACATGACGTGGCAGTCTCAGAAATGATAGCATCAAATGAGATGCATCATCATATGATATTATATTCAAAACGTGAGTCTCATTGTCGCCGCCATGCCTGATCGCCGAAATCTGCACCTCTTTCCAAACGTTTTTCAGGTCAAGTCTAATTCAGCCTTTTCACGATTTGGAGATTTTTCTGTTTCCTATGTTAACTAAATCTGGACGTGAAGTGGTGCCAATATTGCTCCTTAGCAGAGATACGCTGCTTGGTTAAACTAACGCTTTTAAATACGACGATTCATGAGGCATTGCATTGATGAGTTAAAGAATGCGCTGTTTGTTGCTAAAATCCTCATGACAGTACGACCTCTGGTTCTCAAGATAATAGCCCCTCAAAGGCATGTCTGGCCGGGGCGTGACGTTAAAGCTACGCAGTGTCCGGCTGGTTAACGTTGGGACTGGTTCATTCTGCGACCTCGCTGGTAATAAAAAAACAAGCGTCCGTGTGCAATTATGCAGGCATTAGCGTAAACACGACGAATGTCACCACGCCATGTCTCAGCACTGTTGAGTAGTGTGTTTGAGATAGCACGAGGGCTGGATGGAATAACATTCGCCAGAGCAGGCTGGTCCAGCTTCCGGTAGTTTGCGTCATCACTTAGGCGCCAAGGACGCCCAAGTGGACCCACACGTCTGCGCCCGAAGACCTGCTGAATGACCTCGTACACACGCAATGAGACTTGACTGACGCCGCCAATTCACGGCAGCCAACGCCAGCTTGTGCCGGTCACAGACAGCCGAGCGCGGAAAGAAGTGCGTGACATGAGAGGAGGTACGAAACAGACAACCCATATGGATCTGTGAATTGCCTGAATGTGGGTCACAGCCGTGGTGTGACCACCGCAGCGTTGTTGAAGAGTAGTGCATTGATGGCGCAAGCGAATCGCTTTAACGCACGTAGATACCGTGAATACGGGATGGATTTGCGTGACCCGTGACCGGCAGATGAGTCACACCAGATAACTTAAATTGTTTATGAGTCCTTGTCCCGACTTCTCGCAATAGTCGGACACTTTGAGCCCTCTGAGCCCGGCACTGGGCTTTGAAGCGCCATGATAAAGCAGAAGGGGGTTATGGATAAAGAAGAATCGTACTGACGGTGCTAGCCTCCAATGAATGCCACTCAGTTCTCCATTTCAGCCAATTGGTTCTAATTGTACAAAGCGCTCCGGCCTGCGAACGTCGTAATTTACAGTCCGCCTCTGTTTACGGCGGCGACGGCCTACGACAGTCGTATTCCGCTCCATGCAGGTCATGTTGAGAGAAAAAACTTGAATTTTTTCGGGAGCAAACAAGTTCAGCTAAGACAGGAAATGGATAAGGTCCCAACCACTACAGCACCACATCCGCTAAGTGGGAAAAGAAGATGTACGTACGGGTACGGGTACGGGGCTCATGACTGTCAGGTAAGCTGGCACTGGCAGTGTCATCTCATCATGGGCCTGTACTCAGGCCTGTGCTATGTCAGACACTCGTACCCAAAGAGGGAGGAGTCTGTTGTGTCTCCTTATACGTTTCTTTTAACTTCCAAACCATTTTATTACGAATGCCAAATCGGGCTGAGGTGGCCGTTGATGGTAAAAGACAAACGTAAAAAACACTCACTCCATTATGGTTTTTCGGCCAGCAATTTCCTGATAAAGAAAACAAATGTTTGCCAAATTCCGAAACTCCCCTTCCAATAAAGCGTTTGTCTCTCTTCTTCCCTTCTCGATGGAGGGAGGCATTCTCAGTTTGTTACAGAGACTCTACAGAGACCCTTCTACAGAAACTATAGACGTCCAGATCATTTATATCGACGCCCTGTCAAACAATAAGAAGCGCGCCGTGAACTGAGAGAGCCCATGGCCGAAGACGGAACTGCAGCGGTGGGCCACACCGGGCCATCACGCAGGCAACCCCAAGACTGAAGTCTGGGCCGCGAGTCTGGATCGGAGTCTGGTCCGCGGAGCGAGCATCCGGGCCGGAGTCTGGTCCGCGGAGCGAGCGTCCGGACCAGAGTCTGGCCCGCGGAGCGAGCGTCCGGACCGGAGTCTGGTCCGCGGAGCGAGCGTCCGGACCGGAGTCTGGCCCGCGGAGCGAGTGTCCGGACCGGAGTCTGGCCCGCGGAGCGAACGTCCGGACCGGAGTCTGGTCCGCGGAGCGAACGTCCGGACCGGAGTCTGGCCCGCGGAGCGAACGACCGAATCCTAGTCTGACCCGAGGAACGAGCAGCTGCCGGAAGCGTCCCGTTAGCGCTGATCGCGGCGCCGACGACTGGGCCGCTCGAGCCGGCAACAGGGGGCAGACAGGCGGACGGGTCTGCTCTACAGAGGACGGCGGGTTTGCTCTACAGAGGACGACAGGTCTGTTCTACAGGGGACGGCAGGTCTACTCTACAGAGGACGGCGGGTCTGTTCTACAGAGGACGGTGGGTCTGTTCTACAGAGGACAGCAGGTCTATTCTACAGAGGACAGCAGGTATGTTCTACAGAGGACAGCGGGTCTGTTTTACAGAGGACGGTCGGTCTGCCTTACAGGGGACGTTGAGTCTGCTCCACAGAGAACGGCAGGTCTGTTCTACAGAGGACAGCGGGCCTGTTCTGTAGAAGACTGTGGGCCTGCTGTATAGAGGACGGTGACTCTGCTCTACAGAGGACGGTGGGTCTGCTATACGGAGGATGGTAAGCCTTCTCTACAGAGGTCGGTGCGTCTGCTTTGCAGAGGACGATGAGTCTGCTCTACAGAGAACGGTGAATTTGCTCTGAAGAGGACGGAGGGTCTACTCTACAGAGGACGGTTGGTTTACTCTATAGAGTACAGCAGGTCTCCTCTACAGAGGACGGTGAGTCTGCTCTACAGAGCAAGGCTACTCAGCTCTACAGAGGGCAGCGGGTCTGCTCTACAGAGCAAGGTGAGTCTGCCTTACAGAGGACGGTGGGTCTGCTCTACAGAGGACGGTGGGCCTGCTCTGCAGAGGGCGGTGGGTCTCCTCTACAGAGGACGGCGGGTCCGCTCTACAGAGGACGGTGGGCCTGCTCTGCAGGAGGACGGTGGGTCTCCTCTACAGAGGACGGCGGGTCTGCTCTTTAGAGGACTGGGGAACTGTAGTCGGGCTGAGATTGTGGGATCAGGGCTCGCTGACATGCGACGGACTCCACGACGGTAGATGACACCAGCGCCACAGCCCCGGAGGCATCATTTGCGGTGGTGGACGCAAACGTAGTTCGCAGAATATCGATGACGTCTGGTTCACTGCCCGTATTTCGTTTCGCGTGCAGTATTTGTAGTATTGATTGCAAACGATAAGGTCATGCTCCGCGACAACACTACATGGCACGGATGCCGTCCTGCCACCGGCCGCAGGCCTCCTCGGGCACAAACGGCGAGCGCTCCATGCGGCTCGGACCCACCGATCACGGATGCGTAAATAAAGTCAAATATAGGCGCTCTGACCAAATGAAACCCCCGGACGAACACATCAGGAAAATTGAAATTAATCACGTATTTACCAACAAAAATGTGTCGGGCAAATTGTAATTTCATTGTGCACTCATATCTTCATGAAATATTTTACAATGCCTTCATGGCGAGCACATTGCATTGGGCAAGGGCTGTTAAGAACAAACGTCCATCTGCAAGAATTGACATTTGGTTCAGTGATACCCTTTTGCAGCAACATGACGGTCTGTTGCCATATTTAAGCTAATAGATAACGACGATGATATATATATATATATATATATATATATATATGTATGTATATAACATAATATAACGACAGCGATGCTTTGAAGGCCGAACCGACCGTGCTACGGCGGGAGCCTACTGACAGTTTAATTAAACAAAACTGCTTCCGTGAACATCCCTGCCCATCCTCGTCAAAACTTTAGCGGTTTTCCTTCAAAACTGGAGATATCTATCTGCATAAACAAGCGACTCGAAGTGTTTGCCAGTCTGAACAGGAAACGAAACATTCAGAGAAATGGCGCACTTTCGGCGCAGTTCATGAGCACTCAGCTCAAAACAACCACGTATTCTAGCAGCACTATCTAGTGACATAAACACAGACATGATCTGCAGCTCAAGCAGCGAATAGTTACGGCTCCGGATTCGGTGGCGCTTAGATATTAAGAAAGGTAGAGCAGAGCATGACAGATACGTACTCAACGCAAGTCGAAATAGAATAGGTTTTATTAACTACTTATTTTGCACCGGACGTCTCAGTGCATGAAACTTTTAGGTGGTAGTCGGTTGTTATGTCATCACCGAAATATCGCTGTCTCGTTGGCGGGTCAGACAGAAACGAGTGGTGACAAAGACCATCGAGTTTGGGCAGAGTGTGGGAAAGATACCCCTGCTCCTCGGAGCAAATCTCAAACCCTCGTTGAGCCGTCGAAAATAATTCATTGAATGTGTGACAGTACTGGGCTGTAATTAAACGCCTACTCAAAGGGTGACAGGCACTCAGTGATTGGAAAGCAATCATCCTGTAAGCGGCATACGGTCGCGCACCGATCAGATGATAAGTGTAGTGTTGGGTAGTCGACAGGCACTGAACGGAGAAGACAAGCGTCATTTGAACTAACAACACAAGAACACTCTGAGCTAAAGCAAAGTACCTGTTCAACGGGCTGGGCCAAGTACTCACTGAGCCAGGGCCGCTGCCGGTCGGAGACGAGCACGGTCGAGCCCGGCTCATCCAGCTGTCCGAGCAGGATGGAGCCGAAGCCGAGCAGACAGCTGTACGAGAGGGTCACGGTGGCCACCACCACACTGCCCAGCACCTGTCGACATAGCGGAGCCGACTGTACAGGTTGAAGCCGAAGCCGAGCAGACAGCTCTAAAAGAGGGTGCCCGTGACCAACACCACGATGCCCAGCACCTGTCAACATAGCGTGGCCGACTGCATTGGATGAACCCGAAGCCGAGCAGACAGCTGTGCGAGAGGGTCACGGTGGCCACCACCGGACTGTCCCGCACCTGTCGACATAGCGGAGCCGACTGTACAAGGTGGTAGGGCTTGGGAGAACGGCAGTGACAGTGGAGGGATGGAAGAGAATGGACAAAACCACGTTGGGCAGCCAACAGACCACAGAGAACGGAAGGTTCTGGTACTGCGGAAGCACCTGCGACCGCCTGATAGATCAAGATGAGCCCCGTCCGATGGTATGGAATGATAGCTGAACGGCTCCGGGTGCATTCGCCACATTTTCAGTAGCTGTCATAAAGTCTGCCACATCCCAGCAAATATAATTTCCAGGCGGGTCAGATCACAGTCATGCAAGGGTTGCACGGTTGCCTGTGCTTTTAGAAGCGACAGTTCAAAGTTTCAGACTTTGCTTTTGACTTTTAAGTCCCGCAACGTCAGGCTTCGCATCAGGATCAATCGCAAGATGGCAGGTCACATCAGGCCGCCAGCATAGGTCATTACAGGTAACATTGCAAATGACAGAAGGAACTGATTTGCGCTGCTTATCTTGATAAGTCGGTCAGCAAAGCCAAAATGTGTTAACACACACTGACTAGCTGGCAGGTGTCATGTGTTTTGTGACTTAGAAAATTAGGAATCCCATATAAGCCTCCCGAACTTTACTTGGCTTTGCTTTGAATCTTGGCCTTCTGACCGCTCCTTTGGTATGTTCTGACGAGGAAGAAAAGATTGTTTTTGTTCGGTATACCACACGTTGTTGTTCTGCACGTCTGGGCCACACCACGAGCGCTTAGCAATATTTGTT